TTCTAACCAATGAGACCCATTCAAAAATCCCTTTAGTTTCTAACACATACTGATCACGCAGTGTACTGTCAACAAGACTAAACAGCTGAATCTGAATCTGATAATACACGCTATTCTTCATTCAATTTTCCTTCTAATTTGCTATTCCTTCTTTTCTCTCATCAGAACCCTGAAAAAGAAGCCACAGCCCAGTTGCAGAAACTCACAATTTCTCTCCATTGATCGGTCTCACTCTCATTGCGTGTTTTCTGTGTTGACATTTTTCTGTACGTCTGCAAGATGAATAGTTACAACAGGATTCTACTACTACTACTTGTTTGGTTGCTGGTTCTGTTCATCTTCTTTATAGAACATTCCAGTGGCTCAAGAGCAATGAATACATACAAAATCAAGCCAAACGCTCAAAATTCAGGCCATTTCTTGAACTCCTTGCCGAAAAGACTGCCTATTCCGGCCTCCGGTCCGTCGAGAAAACACAACGCCATAGGACTACAGAGTTGGAGGCTTCCTTGAAGTCGAAGACAGAAATTAGGCTTCAACAACAAAACATTAACATCAGAAAAACCTGTTTTTACTGATTTTGGAGCCATGAAGAAAGAACTGCAGGTGGATATGGATATTGTAAATTATTCGTCTGAAGATCCCTTATTTTTGGCTTTAACAAAAAGGTTTGTTTTGAACTACGATTTCAAGAATAGGGTTCTTTTGTCTTCTCCATGTACTCGTGGAGTTGAAGGGGTGAGATTATCAATTATCTTTATCTTCTTAATTAGTAGATTTTCTAGTCGTTTTTTAATTGGTTTGGATGGGGATCATGGAGAAAAACTCGTGTATATATGCGTATGTATACTCAGTATTAAAGGAAAAATACATGCAGGAATTTACTTGCAGAAAGTGCTATATTTTTCTTTATACACTTCTTAATTATTGCCAATTACAAAAATCTTTTAAATTTTTTGTCGATTTTTTACGTGGGATGATGAAAATTGTACTGTACATGGATGATCAATCGTCTTGTATTTGTACAATGATATCTTTCATTTGACAACTTCAATCACGTAACTGTGTATTTGTATTTATTACAGGTTGGTTGACAGTACTCATTTTTTTGCAATTGTTGCACGTATTCTTCTTTTTATTTCTTACCAACTATATAATAAAATTCCAAGATAATTCAGAAAAGAACATATATCTAGCAAAATTCATGCCTTATTCAATGTAACGTACCAAATATAATAATATTAATAAAATTTATTTTTAGTAAATAAGGAAAATATTATTCTGATACTCTGGCAATAACAAGATTTGTTTTTTTTTTTTGTTTTTTTTGCATTGGTCTTGTATTATATTAATTCATATATATTGGACCAAAATCGAGTTATCATGTTCCTTACGGGGTGTATAAGAATTCACCTATCTCGATAACAAAAAAAAAAAAAGAGTACAATAATTTCTACAGTACGCCAATTATGAATTTTCAACACCACCCCGGGTGGAAATGATACAAGCATATTCTTAAAAATAATATTTTCTTGAGAATTAGAAAAATAAAAAAAACCGAAAATACCAAATTATTGCTGCTAAACTTGCATAGTCATTTCCATTCTTACCTTATATTTTGTACACTAGATAAAGGAAAAGGGTTTCTGGAAAAAAAATATAAAAATAAATTGGGTCCCTTTTAAATAAAAATGAAAAGAAACCTAGGAAGGGAATAAAGAAATATGAAAGGGGGTGTTTTTGTGGCTCTTAACATTACCATAAAAATTAAAATGACCAACACAAGGGCCCCTTGAAAGAGAATCTATATTTTAGCATTTTTAATTTTACAGAATTTAGCCCAATTTATCCAATTGAAATTATTTATATTTTGTGAAGTTTAAAAATTGTTTTTTAAAGTTTTTCACTGTTAAATGAACTTTCGTTATCTTCATTACGCTTTGTTCGTAGATAAACTTTTATTGAAGTATTGGATCGAGTTTGAAAGATTAGCTAGATTATTTTTCGTAAAAGACCTAATACGTTTACAATCTTTCAAAATTAGTAAAAAATAAAATAAATCGTGATAGATATAGCAAAATCCGATCTCATGATTTTTGTGCTTCAATATCATATTGAATAAATTCGTCGAAAAATTAAAACTAAGAAAGTGGAGATTGTCTATTTATTTAAAAATGTTAATAAAATGGATAGAGGATCAAAATCTTGCAACCATGTGAATTATTTAATAATAGGTAGGATTTGGGGGGGGGGGGGGGGG